GTATTAGAGTAGTCTGGGTTTTCAAGTGTCTGTCATTCATCTTTCGGCTCATTGAGAGGAGACAGATCTCCTGGGTTTCCACCAACAGCCGCCGAGATCTCGGGTCCTAAAACTCCCATGGTGCTGTTGTCCAGCAAGCTCCGCCGGTGCACCTGCCGCAGGTTTTGATCCCAAAACTGAGTCCCCAAACTGGGTCCCTGGATGTCCAGGAAGCTGGGAAAAGATTATATAAGCATAGACCCCAAACAGCTTGAAAATGATTCGTTTAGACCAATATTAGTCAAACATCGATTTCTTGGTACGCCCTACCTGCACCCCAAGAGCAAACTGCTTCATCAATGAATTTTTGTCGGCATGACATTGCTATTTGTTCGGCCACACTCCTCTCCAGTAAACCGGGCCACAGAGCCCAGCCACAGAGTTCAGGGGCACGGCCAGTGAGTGTGGCCAGCTTTCTTTTTCTAAGATAGAACCCCAACAGTAAACTGTTTGGGGAATTAATTACAAAAAACTTCCCCGGAAACGGGGATTGACCCGACAAAAAGAACCATCACCTGGCTGGATCAGCCTGGCACCCGAACCCAAACCTCCGACCTCATCTCCCAATCGTCGGCGGCGTGTGTACGTTGCTTTCGTCTCGCGTCCGGGAGGACGGTCCCAGCGCTTTCGTCGACCACCCACGGTGTGTGGGTCGAAGCCCAGACACGACCTGTGGACTGTCATGCCGCCCCAGACAGACCCCTCTGGCACCACCCCTGGTCGGTAGTCCTATGCCAGTCCCGAGTGTCCCATGGAGTGTCTGGGTTCGTTCACACCGATCGGTGGAGCACCAAGAGGTGCTAGAGATGAGGCCGTTCATGTTCGGAGACCCCGAAACCTGAACGAAGCGGGCCCTGGTCGGCCAGGTTCTTTGGGCCCTTTCTTTCGGAGACAGCGGGCTGATTCGCACGGTTTCGCGGTCCAACAGTCCACGCACGACCAAGAGTCAACTGCGAACGATGGACCTTTTGACAACGATGATGACATCATAAAGATGGAGTTGGGATAGAACTCACAGCAGTTTCTACCAGGGGATACCAGGAGACCCTTTCCAAGATCGTAGCTTTGACATCCACCTTCTACACCAAATCTATCAGGTAGGTTTCATCACCCGGACACTCCATGTATGCCAGAGGTGTCACTCTTTGATGGACTGATTCTAACCTCTCAAGATTCCACGCCAAAACCTGCCATCTGCGCCTCGATGTAAAGACAGGGCTCCTCTTCAGGACGATTTGGAGACCAACTGACCAACAGTTCTATTGGGCAGCATACATAAAGGTAGTGACTGGTGCACATCGTCCCTGCCAGGACATGTGATAGAGGCTGTATTCGAGTGAGGCTGCAGTGACTAATTCGTGTGAATGGGACAGCCCGAGTCAATGCTGAAATCGGTGTGCCAGGCTCCAAATCATCCAGTCAACGACTAGTGCGTTTCTTGCGTTTAATAGACGCCCAACGGAAGAGAGAGACCACACACACACCGCCTGGGGAAATATAAAACTGTCTGTCGCTGAGAAGTTGTGGGGTCTATTGGCCAAGGAACTATGGCTTGCAAGGAAAGAACTGCCTGCAAAGTATAGTCACGCCAAACTAGATAGAAAAGTAAAACCCCTCTGACTCTGATTATGCATTTGACATAATCGCGTCTATTCTACCATATATCATCACGATAGTATACCATATACCCTAGCCCTGGCCTACCAAAACCTTAAAAATGTAGGGTTTACTTGAAAGCCCGAGGCTTTCAATCAAAACCCGAGGTGTTCAAATTCGCTGAGGTAGCGGGTGGAAGCATAAGCTGTAGCCCAAACACTTTCGTTTCGAGGCTTGCACGTGTAAATCACAGGTTCGGCATGGGTTGGGCAGTTGGGCACGGGTTCAACCGAGGTTTGTCTATAGGCCCAAGGTTTGCACTTGAAAAATATGGATCGGTACGGGCAAATCACGGATTGGGCATGGGTTTGGCATGGGTTCCTCACCAAATCCTTTATTTTACAAACATTTGTTTACCAACAAATGCAATTAGCAAGGATTTCAATGGAAGTGGCAATGTGGAAGACATGGAGATTTGAGTTTTGAGGCTTTGCTATGCCTCCCAAGCACCTAAGGCATGTGCTTGGGACAGCGAACCAAGGAAAACCAGAGGTTTTGCCCAGGGTTTGAGGTGGTGGTGCCAGCGAAAACCCCAGGCTTCTTCCAAGACCCTACATGCTTCGTTGCGCGCTTGATCGCTCAGTGTACCCAACGGCACTTGTTCCACACCCATGAGTTCAACCAACAGCGCTCGCTCCTCCTTGATTTCAGCGGATGAGTCCGCCAACACGCCTGCCGCACGTTTTGCAGAAGGTGCGGGGCCAATGCGGAAACACGTCAGAGGTCTCATGAAAGGATTTTGGAGCTGAATTTCACTCATTGACGATGTCTATACCCTGGTGTTAGAACCCACACGGAACCTGAAAACCACCGGACTGTGTGGAAGCTCGTCATTTCCGCCCAAAGCCAGCCGACCGGAGGATCGGCCGTCATCCAGCCTTTCTCTTATGAACATGGAGAGGTGCACAAACCCACAGCTACTCCGTTGTGAGACTGCACCCGCAACAGAAAAATAGAAGAAAAGATCGATTGAAATATGGTAAACTTCTGTGTTTATGTCACCAAACATCTTGTAAACGGTCCTTTCACTTCGGTTTACACCATGGTTTACCTCCCACATACCCCGGTCGACTCGCCGTGCTACTCGGGTCGTGCTACTCTCGACGTCCTGCTCTGCCCGTTCTTCCCGGGCGCCTTTGGGCACGTAGAGGTAGACCGAGTCATCCTGGCAGACCGAGTGCTGGCAACGTCCGACAGACGGGGTGTCCACCGTCTCCATGGTGGACAGACACCGTTGGACTTGGGAGGAGCCGAAAACGGAAAGACCTGGGTTTCGCGTTGGCCACGGTCTTTTCGCGGAGAAAAAAAGGAAAAGGCACACTCGACTCAACAAACATCTTCCAAAAAAAGCCGGCGCACTTAGTAGTAACAGAAGCAATTCCTTGGCTTATCCAGCCGATGATAGTTACAGGCTACAGGGAGCATTCCGACTTGTCCCCATTCTCCGTAAACGATGTCGATGCTGCACCGTGATGCCAACCCGTCCGACTGCCGCGGTAAACGCCCCAAAACTCCCTGAAACCACGGCGTGGATGGCGCCGTCCGCCTCGTCAAGCCATTGCGCCAGGCCATTCAGCACACCCCGGCGCACGCTGTTCCGCTGGAAGCCTGGTGCGGTTTGGGTCGCGATCGAGAGGCCACCAGCGGTTGCTGTGGCCAAAAACACACCTGGTGGTCCTGCCGTTCTTTCTGTTTCGGAACTGTAGGTTCATCATGGTCCATCTGTTTGTATTCCATTCCAGGATTCCAGCCCTTGTGAGCAGAAACGCCTGTCTAAGTACCAAAAAGTGGAGAAAGAACTGGACAGTGACAGGCTCCCGTCCCGAAAACCGGTCGTGAAAAAGAACCCACGCCGTGTTTCCTGGTGTCACGGGGTCACGGAAGCTCAATGGTAGAGAGAGACCTTGAAACAAACACACTCACAGCAAGCGAGCTTCATGAGCTTCATGTTGATATTACATGAGCTTCAAGAAACTCCATGGACTTTCAGACCAGATCTGCCAAGCCCTGGGCGCTCTTGAGGGGGCGCCCCCTTGGCCCTCCGCCACTCGGTCGTGACGCGCCTTGCAGTCCACCCGCCCCGTCTCCGGCCGTCGTGCGGAAGAAGACCTCGGGTCGAGTCGGAGCGTCCGTCGGTCGGTCCAACGGTCGGCCCGTGCGAAGCGTCTGGAGCAGCGACGGAGCAGCCACGAGCTCTGTCGAGTCGGAGAGGGCAAGGATGAGCCAAGGACACGGCGTGAAAGACTGGAAAGAAGGACACCCCATCGCTAGAGGATGAGCCAAGTGGCCACCCCATGGAATCGGTGGATCTGGCAAGCTGGATCGATACAATCGATACACTCTTTCATGAACGATCACATGGGACCTCTTCAAAGGTCCCACCCTGAGTCCGAAGAACTTCTCTGGCAAGAACTCCACCAATTCAAAAGAGGCCCATGTTGGTCTTAAGGCGAAGTATAATTTCGTCCAAACACCCGTGCTGCTTGAAAAACTCTACTCTTGTGACCACTCGATCTCAAAGAGATCATCTGCCACTGTAAGAACCGCCCACGCTCCAATGTCCTGGACATTTTTCCGACATCCGAGGAGCCTCCTGGACATCTCCAACCTGTTATGCGTGACAACCAGGCGTAATAAAACACACCGCGATTTTACTACGACATGTTGTTTGCCATGGTCTGATTGGTGGCATAGAGTCCATAGATCCTGGCAGACGTCGTGTGCGAAAACCTGAACACCTATACAAGTAGGACGGAAGATTACTCCACTATACTCCACTATCGTGTGAGAAAACTCCACCCGAAGAAACGGCGAAGTGGTATCTCCCGCAACGGCAACAACAACAACAAAAACACCCACAAAAAACGGGAGATGTCCAACTCTCCTGCCCACTTTTTGTTTTCTGTAGGATGGAGGCCATCGCTCTTAGGTTGGAGGCCATCGCTCCCGATCGGAACGAAGCCAGGCCCGCGACCGCCACGGCCCCTGCCATCGCCACACCACGCAGGCCTGGACGGGTTCGCTCCGCTCCGGAGCGGAGCGGAGGAGCTCGTCCGGGGGAAGGAGGTGGGGATCGAAACCATGAATCACAGCAGCTGATCACACTACACTTCCTTTCCTAGCCGTAACCCTAGCAGTAACCGTAACTAGTAGGGATACGAAGCTTGACCAAATGTCATGAATTCTCGAGATCATCCGCCGGATCTGCCCATCAAGCTTGGGGAAGATCAATTCGACCCATGGCGTAGACTGCCCATGAAGCTTGGTCTGCATGTCGATGTCAGCAGTCTGCATCGATCTGCAGGGTCGGTCAATGGCTCACCGAATTTCATGACCCAAACTCATTGAGAACGCCTGAGTCCCTTCTCATGTTACAAATTGAATGAAAGAGTGCATGGTCAACATGAATTGCAAGAATTAGAACACATGCTGCTCTGATGCTCCAAGCAGTACTTGTTCCAAATCTGCCCACATGTTCAGAAGGCAAGCAGTGAAACGTTTGAAGACTCAATTCCTTCATTCAAACGTTGCATTCAGTTATGGTCCGAAGAGCCGTGACGACACGGTCACGGGGTGCTTCGCTCGAGGATCTGCAATTGGGATCAAGCCAGCCCGCACCCCCTCACGAATGTAGCACGGAAAAGGATAGCCAAGGCAATGAAGGATCAAATCTCGAGCGTCCATGAAAAGGCAAAGGGCAATGACCCCCTTTTCAAAGGCCAGAAAGTTCAAAAAATACGAATCCACACTTGTTGCGTCTGACACAGGCACAGCCGGAGCCCGGTTCATGATGAAAGCCAAGACGGGTCCAAAAGTGAGCAAGTGGCACAAGCCTAAGGCGCGCGTAAAAGGGATATGTTCATCCAGCTTTCGAACGATGCACATTGCACCCATGCGCGCAGAGAAGATTGCCCAGGCAGCTTTGTAGCCAAGAAGGCCGAAGAGCAAGCCACCCACCCACTGAGGAAAGCACATGATAGGTGCCCACACAGCCACAAGGCGTGCTGTGACACTGCCTGCTTTGCCACACTTCTTAAGCATATCCCGATGATCCTTGACCACCACCACCTGGCTCTCCAAGATCCATCTTACAATCGAAAGCATCTCTGAAGAGCCTAAGCTGCTAAGAGCCTGTTGTGAGCCGATACACTGCGTGCTTGAGCCCGGCAAGTCAGTGAGCCCGGCAAGTCAGTGCTATCATGTATCTCTTAACCATTCTTAACCTATAGGCATCGTCCGGCATCGAACCCAAAAACCACGGAGACCACGGAGGCTTCCGCGACATCGAACACGTCGAAAGAACCTCACACCACCCGTTCCGAAGGGCCGAAGGGCCGAATGGCCGACGGGTCGAAGGCGTCCGAAGATGCAGAATCAGCTCGGGAGCGTACCAAATTGCCGCAAGCCCTGGGTTGACCCAGTTCCCAAGCAGAAAACGGATGGGTTTCTGACCCATCGATGGCGCCAGCATGGCTTGCTTGAGATCCTTTAGAGAAGTGGCAAGTGGCTGGGATTGGGCATCCAACCACTGCTTCTGGTAGGGACTGGGTTTATAGGTCTATATCTTCCATACACCATGTCCCTCCCTTGGCACCTTCATCACCACTGGGTGCTCTTCAAAACCAACCGCCCAAACAAGACCTTCGGCTCTCCACGGTCTCTCCGGTCTCCCCGCATCCTCGACCCGGTCTCGCGGGCGGTACCTCCCGGCCGGGCCTTCGGCGCTCAAGACGCGCACGCGGAGGATCCCTCGAAAGGCATCCCGCACGAAGCTGGAGGACAGGAGCACCGCCTGCTTCGTGACGGTCGTTTGGAAGAGATTGGTTCCGGAGCGCCCTTGGGCCCTTGGGAATCTCTTTGGCTCCACAAACCCACGGGCCCATGGAATTGCCACTGTTGATGGACACATGGCCAAAAAAACGCGAACCAGCATCAGCATCACTGCAGGCGCCGCTACGAGGTGATGCTGAACGATGTCTTCACGATCAACATCAGAGGATGGTCTCCGTCCCTCCACTCGTCCGGACGCCCGTCCGGCTCGTGAGCCACCGTTTCTGCTCACCGACGCGTCCAAAGCTGCAGTCATGTGCACCTCCTGGTGCGTTCCACTTCCTTGATTCCTTGATCCGATTTCGACACATCGAAGCCAAAGCTGAACCAGGCAAGAAAGGCTTCGCCTTTTCAACAGGCTCCCAGGCAGTCTAGTCTAGGAGACGCTTTTCGGAAGGTGATCTGCATGTTACTGATCGGTATACAGCTCTACTCTCCGTGTAGCTCAATTGAGACCTTCCAGGGAACGACTTCCTGGACATAGGAAAATAGACCACAACGAATTGGTGGGCCGTTTCCTTTTAAAAAATACAAGTCCATAATCCAACTGTGTCTTTGTGTCTTTCAGCAATGAATTGCTGCCTTCTAAAGTCACCGGAACGGAGATGGACATGGGGTCTGACACCACCACTCGACAAAAAGGTTTCCCCAGAACGGTCAAAGGCCGAAACACGTTGGACCTCTGGCCTCCAAATGGAAGACCCCAAATAGACGGTCCCCCCCAGTTGTTCCAAGCGCCCCTTGTTCCGCCCCGAGTTCAGCGGGCCCTTTCCGTCGTTCGGCCGTGGCTTTTCACGGCAGAAGGAGTCCGGTGGAAGCCCGGTTCGGTCAGGTCCAGTGAGTCCGAGGAATCCACATCGCTGTAGGGGATGCACGGCGGAGGTGGAGGTGGTGTTAGGTGTCATGGCTTAAGTGGGTCCAAAGTCATGAGTCATGCAGGCAAGCAAGCACCACTGCACCACTGGCACTCCTAGAGGTCTCCAAAAAAGCCACACGAATCACCATCTCTCCCCGCTCCGGGCCATCCTCCATTTCTGGGTGCTGAACAAAAGCGTCCAAGGAGCCCCCGTGGATGGGAAGTCTCGTACAGCGAGACCGCGAAACAGCGGCCTGTACTCCCGTGATGCCCTTCTCTTCCTGATTGCCTGCACAAACCCAGACCTGAGCACGCTCTCGGTCGGCTTGTGACCTCAACAGTTTTTGGGACTAGACTTCTGCAGTGATGTGGGGTGGAACCACCGTACGGTATTATATAACCACCTTGCATGCGTTGCTTGCTCTAGATTCTGTCTCCCAACAAAATACTCTAGTTCAAAAGGAAGGGATACATCAATATACATACCCTAGAAGTCCAAAGACTATCTATCGGAGCACCAAAGTAAAGGAAATTCCTTTTCGGATCACCTAAAGACCAGATGTTCCTTTAGTCCTTGGACTTTCAGTGCATTGATCCGGTCTACCTACTCTTGCGCGGTCTGTTTTCTGTGGGTCCGGGATCGCTCCGCTCTCCGCTCAAGTGGGCGGATGTTCTCGGATGAGGCTTTCTCGGAAGTCAAGCGGGTCCGACGTGTCGGGGAAGGAGAACAAAACCCCACACGCACTGGCTGCACCAGTTCTCCGAGAACAGCTACAGCTTGATGGGCTGAAGCTCAAACCGCCAGACAGGAGGCCGGTCTCGGGTGGATATTGGTGTAGATCCACCAGTCCCAGGTTGACCTTTAGGACAAAGGCAAAGGGATCTTCCGAACCCAAAAGAACGCGTGGATCCGACGCGCGTACCACTTACGGTGCGAGCTGAGTTCCCCTACACCTGTGGCGCGGTCGATTAAGGTATAGGCGTCGAAGGAGAAGCCCGCCATGACCTTGGTACATGGGTGGATTGAAACAGGACCTCCCAGGCGTTCCGATGCCCTGGTTTGATGGTCGTCCGATACCGGTCGCGGACGGTCCGGTCACAAGAAAAAGAATCCTCAAGCTGATCAGAGTCGCATCAAACCTGGTCTTGACCCCATGTTGGATGATGTTTAGTGGATCACCCATGACATCCAGTCTTACCCGGTCTATCTCTTCCTTACACCCTTTCCCGACGGGACCTCGGCACCTTCTCTTCTCATCACCACGGATGTGTGTATGTGTGCTTCGTACCCAGTACACCCAGTACAAGAGACTGTCCTACAGTCCTACAGTCCACAGGTTGAGTGACCCGAACGTTCGACTATCCCAGTTCGGCCACCTGGTCCGGTGAGTAGAGTAGGGTCCTATGGTCCGGTCACTGAACCCACCTCTCTGTCCTACCCAAGATCTAGGACTTCGGCCATGCAGGTCTTGAGGTCAGGGACGTCCTGAGGACGACACGAACGTGGGTAGACGACACACACGAGAGGACCGTGCACATCACACGGTTTTGGTGGGTGGGAGTCAGATCGCGGAAACCCAGTCCCAACCAGAAACAGTTCTGGATGCTTCCCCAGTCCCAGTCACTGCCTATGTAAAGGATTTCAAGCAAGCCATGTTGGGTTCCAACCATTTGCTTCTGGTTGGGACTGGGTAAACCCAGGCTGTGCATGTGTTGGCAGGAATCGTCTTTGGATGTCTTTTGATTTCTATTCCACTTCGATGTTCTGACGAAGTGAAACACCATGAACTACCATGCCAACGGCCCCCCCCCCTCACTGGCATCTGAGCTCATGCCAGGGCCACCTCCTTCTCCCAACCCTCACTGGTCTCCTGCCCTCCATCTGTACCATCAGCTTCCCAGTCGTTGTCGTCGTCACTGCTTCGGCACACCACACGACTTACGCCTCAAGTCGCCAACGGCACGCGACTGGTCAGAGGGGTCATTCAAGAGGCCGGCAAATGTCCAATACAGCTCAAATGCACAAGGATCCTGATCCAACGCTTTATCCCACAAGCCGGTCGTGAAGGAGGCTTTCGAAAGAAGCATTGCGCTGACAGTCACACCTTTCATCATCTTTCATCAGTGTCTTCAACATTTTCGGGTAGAAACAATGACTCGACAAATCACGTCTGGGATAGTTCCAAAAACCCAAACGTCTGGGCCATCCAAATCAGTGCTCAAAACCACCGCCCAGACCGCCCACCAATGAGCCGACCCGCGCTGTTACAGTGCGTCGTCGCCCACGCCTCTGCCAACACGCCTGGGGGGGGCGCGCGATCCATGACGACACACTCGCGTGAGAGTGCATTGGGCATACCCAGACCATCCATGGGACTGGAAGAGTTGTCCTCAGGGTCATGGGTCGTTCATGGGGGTCCGGGTAAATGTATGTAACTCCCGTATGTAACGGATGGTCGATATCTCGATGATCCACAAGGTGATCCCGAATGTGATCCTGATTATCCATGGTTCTCCCCAGACCAATGTGTTTTTGTCTGAGTCATGAGGTATGCCTTTAGAATCTTCTGGAATATTGGGAAGGCTTAGTTGTGCTTGTTCAACTTCTTGAGACCTCAAAACAGGAGAAACCCACCAAATCCACTTACTCTAGGACCATGTGCAAAGCCCAATCTATTTGCCCAAGTCAAAGCAGAGGTCTACGTACCTCAACCCATTTGCAAACCGCTCGGTTCTCCTACGAAATGGCCACTTATGTTGCTGGCCAAAGCCACCTCGCCATCAAGTTCACTTAAGCTCACAGGGGGAAGAACCATGAAGAATCCAGAACATTCGGATTTTGATAGATGTTGATTTCTTTTAAAAACAATAAATAAGACGCCGCCTCCCCTCTCCTTTTTCCCCGGAGACCCGCCCCCCCGGGCTGAACGGATTCAACGGCCGCTCCTTGGAGCTCCAGCTCCACGTCTCCGCGCGAGGCCGAGGCCGGAGACCTCGGAGACCAAACCGGGCGCCGTTGCGGCGCGTGGCGAACATGTGGTTGACCTGCTCCATGGCTTTGCTCTCTCTCTCTCTCTCTCTTTCTCTCTCTCTTTAAATATAGAATGCATGTATATATATATATTATATATATAGTGATATATATATTTATTGTTATATATATATATATTCCCACGCCCACGCGCGCTCTCTCTCTCTCTCTCTCTCTCTCTCTCTGGCCGCTGGTCATTTTTCCAAGTATCACTGCCATATATCTATCCATCGGGGAAGGCATCAGCCGGCCCCACTGGAGAGATCACTCTGCAGACCCATACCGAAAGGGTGGTAAAGGCAGAGTCGGGTCCCATCCCCACACATAAAGCCCCACAGGAGCTAAAGGGGGGGAACGCGAAGAACGGTGTTCGGGGTGACAAGAAGCAAGGAACTGAATCTAAGCCCAAGGACACAGAGAAGCTACCGAGTGCTTAGGAATTTAGATTCACCTGGCCTGCCTGAAATCAAGCAATATCACTGCCATAACTCTAGGGGAAGGCATCAACCGGCCCCACTGGAGAGATCACTCTGCAGACCCTATGTGGAAAACTGAATCCCAGCGTGGTAACAAACAGCAGGCGCAGAGAATGGAAGTGGGCAACGGCACTATTTGCGGGTCACTGTCTTAGGGCACCCGGACTAATTACTATTATAGTCGTACTCAGGCCCGCTAAAGGCATTCAGCAAAACTCCCAGAGTGAGATCAGCCAAGCATTCTACTGGTGGCAACGCGACAGGAACAACATCCCAAGAGGCTTTTGCGGCTGCAAGTCCTTCTCGTGACATCGCATCAATGATGTTAGCTGCACTTTCAACGTGTTCAAAATAAACTCTCTTGTTTGGGTTTTGGCGTGCAAAAGGTGGATCATCGCACAAATGGCCGCGCAATTTTCATGGGGGAAGTAACCCTTAATAAGAGTAGAGAGAGCCCCTTGGTTATCCATAAAGTGCAACAAATCACATCC